GCCTACCCATCATCACTCCACCAGGAGGAGCAGGCTGGCCCAATGGAGGATAATAATACGGCACACCACTAGCAGTAGAGCCCACCATTCCCGGCCCAAGCCCAACAACGCCGCTCTCGTCCTTAATCTCATCCCTAGGTACAATGTCGACGAGGAAATCAAATATATCGGTACGAGTAATCGCCGCAGCGATATCATTCTTCTGTAAAGTTCGGCGCTTGTTTTCCTCGGCGTGAAGCCACGAACGAATCGTGAGTTCGAGAATGAAGAGTTCACACGCTTTGGCGAAGAGAATTGGAGCTTCGGCGGAGATCATGCGTACGTCTTCGTCGGCTTTCATGATTTTTTTAATGCGGGCGAGGGGAAGTTGGTGGTTTTTGAAATCGTTTGCTTGTTCGATTTCTTGGCGTTGGTAAGTCCAAAACATTTGGAGCTGTTGCTGTTGTTGTTGGAGGAGGTGGTGGTATGGTGTTTGCTGTGGATATGGTGCCGACTGAGCCGCCGCCGCCGCAGCAGCTGTCGGCGATTGGTGAGGGTTGTTGTCCATGGCGTTTTTGGGGAAGATGAAAGCGACGATTGCCTTCAAAATTTCTACGGAGGTCAGGAGGTGTAAGGGTTGCACCGTTCTAACTTCTACTTTTACACGTGTTTTCAAAAAAATGTTTTCTTCAAAAATAAACAGTAATCATATTCATTTTAGGTGTCTGGTACGCCCAAACCTACGGACACATAAATCTCCACTTTGGAAGTTAGAAAAATTTTGAACATGTAAATCGAAAAATAAAAAAATTAAAACTAAAAATATATAAAAAAAATATTTTTTTCGGGGGCTGGGGCAGGGAAAAAAAAGTTTTTTGTGCAGGGGTGGGACAGTGGAGGGGGACAATAGGGGTGGGGATTTGGCGGGATGGGGATGAGTGGGGCAGAAAAATAAAAAAATAGAAATTTGAAATTACAAAAAAAAAATAAAAAAATGCGAGGAGTAGTAGGGTGGGTGGTGACGAAAAAAAACTGAAATTTAAAAAAACAAAAAAAATTTCTGAAAGAGGGGTGGGGAGGGTTGGTGAGGGTGAGGAACAAGGTGGGAAAGGTTGAGAAGGAGTTTTTGAAAATGTTTTCCTTTCTCTTGATAAGGAAAATGAGTTCATAATGAAAATATTTTTCAAAATATTTAAACCAATCAAACATGAGAAAATTAAAAAATATTTTTCAAAAAATATTTTTCTTCGTACCAAACACACCCTATATGGTACTGCTCGCTCAGTCCCTACCTAATTTATGCGATTATTTTTCTTTTTGTCCATCCTTAAAAAAAGTTGAAGCATCTTTATAATTTTAAATTTATTATTTTATCATTAATTAAATAAGTTACAACCACAAATATATTTATAACTTATTTTAGATTAAATGTAAGACTCTTGCTTTATTTCTTAAACTGTTAAGTCAAACAACTTCAAATAAATTAGGAAGGTGGGAGTACTATTTTTTCAAGTTTGATAGACATGGAAATATTTATCCAGTTACATTTTTATAAAAAAATTATAAACGATGTATTAAACTATCAAACTTTTTGATTTTGATTGGTTGTACTATCAGATATTTTAATATTTTTTACAATTACTAATATACTTCCTTAGTATTACTGATATATTTTCTCTAAACACATGTTACATGTGACACTTATTTATTTCTGGATGTTCTAAGGTTTCTGTTTACTATTTTTTCTTCCTTATAACCTTCAAAAGTAAATTTTAAGCTTAATGTGTTTTAATGGGCTTTTTTTTTTGGTCGAAAGTAAATTTTTTATTTCAAACAGTTTTTCAATGCACAAAACCTGCTCTTTTTGACTCAAGTAGCAGGTCTCAAAAATAACCAAAACAAGAAGGTATACAACCATATTGTTGCTTATCCACGACCACTTGTGAAGTGTCATTCTTTCTTTATCCTAAATAGCTAGAACTACAAACTAGGATAACTATTCAATGTATTCAATATAGGTCTCCATTTGTATTTTTGTTGACATGTTATATGCACTTGAAGTGTAATGCCTTTAGCTCTGTCCATAGCTTCCCTCTTCTGGTCTTGAAATCTTCCACTATTCCTTTCCACCCAGATATGATACACCACAGCTGCAAAAATAACCCCTAGGATTGTTTTTCTTGGATTCATGTTATTGACATTGGTTGATAACCAATTCAATTCAGACTCCCAGTTAGTGATGCTCATTTGGTACGTTAGCCATATCAGCATTCCCTTCCACAAGCTTTTCGAGTATTGGCAATCAAAGAATAGATGAGCATGTGTTTCTTCAGTATTCCTGTCACACAACAAACATGACTAGGGCACCTGGATATCCCATCTTGCGAGCCTGTCAATAGTAGCTAGTCTCTGATGAATAGCCATCCATAGTATGAACTGGTGTTTTGGCAGAATTCCCTTCAACATGATAAGTGATTTTTATGGAACTTTGGGATAACATGGCATAGAATAGATGTCGGCCTTCTTTATGTTGAATCTTCCATCAGACACAAAGGAGTCGATCACTGTTAGATCAGAAGCCCACCACTCTCTACCAGAGCAAATTTTCCTCACTAATGGGCTTTTATCACTTTAAAAGGAAAAATTAAGGAAAATAATATTGTATAGCCGCTCTCAAAATAATAGCCAAAAAAAATATTTTTTTGTATATATATATACATTATGTATGTTATATACAAAAATTATATAAATTTTATATACTTTTTCGACTACCAAATGTAAATAGTTTCTGGCGCGGGCTAAAAGTAAAAAAATTTCAAAATTTAATATTTAATTTAATTGGCTACTTAAATTTTCACCTCGTAAAAAATGTATATCATTAACTCTTATGTTCATATGAAGAGCATTTCCCATTTTTGCCTTCCTTTTTTGGTGTTATGATCAAATACATGTGAATGGAATTTCTTTTAATTTTAATCATTCGATATTTGAAATCTAGTTGTTCCGATAAATTAAGATTCGGATTGAATACATGAAAATGTAAAATGCAAACTTAAGCCAAAAAAGAAGTTACATGCAAAACTTTTGGCTTGTAGGATAATGTCCTATCTACTACAGTACTCTATACTCTTGCAATTTTAGGAGGAGGGAAAAAGGTGTCTGGAACCAAAATGTTGTCTACTCAAAAGCATAAAAATAGGTGAAAAAAATATGTGAGTATTATTTTATATATAACGCGGTTATTCACCACGATATACCTTAACAGCACGTTTGTCCATTAAGGTATAGCACGATCAATACATCCGCTAAATTTGAACTTTAAATTGGCGGGAGGTATAGCGCATATGCAGGAGGCGTTTTACTATAGCGCCTCCTATATATGTGCTATACCTATATAAAACAAACGGGTCTGTCTCCTTCCCCGACCAGACAGAAGCAGGAAAAAAAAACGGTCCCCCCCCCCCTCATTTTTTAACCAAAAAACTCTATTGGATCTCACCCGTCCCCCCAAAATTATGTCTTCTCCGTATTTTAGCAAGCTAATATCGGATCCAATACATTTTCGTTTAGTGGATCTCGTCTATTGCTCGTTTCGGCTCCTAAATCATCAATTTTTCACATTTCAAAAAACTTTAAATCGAGGTATTCCAACTTACTTTTTGGTAAAACTCATGTATATAAAATGCTTATTAGTTATTTTTTACTATGATCTATATTTTTTGTGATCGTTTTGTGATTTAATTAATTTTTTATTTTTTATCCGGATTAGTTTATTTATGTGCTAAAAAATTAGTAAAAAAGATATATTATTATTTTATGAATAATTATTGTTATATATAATTTTATTGTTATATGTATATTAATATGTGACTTTATTGTTATTTAGTGCCCTTTAGTGTTATGTTGTTCCCTTAATTGTTATGTAGTGCCCTTATGCGTAGTAAAACTGATAATAAATTTTAGCTTATGGTAGTTGACTTTATTTATGGCCATTTAGAGTAGTGTTATTTTAGTGCTCTTTAAGATTTTATTGTGTAAAATAAAAACTACATGCTCTCCTTAACAAACTCGAATAGAGTACTCAATTATGGATTTAATGTATCAGTAGATAATTATCAAATATTAGATAGTAATCATAAAATAATCAGTTGCCGAGAAATTTGGGCAAAATACGATAATTAAAAAACAAATCGTTACGAATGAAGTAAATTCAATATTATTTACTATTAAGTTTGTAGTATTTTTTATATGATTAATTATTGAATATATCTTGATTATTTATGAAATTTTAATATATAATTATGTTATAATTCAAAAATAACTTAAAAAGATGATAGTACAAACAAAACCATGCAGAATTTTAGTAGAAAAATATTGGAAACTAACATATGAAATATTAATATAGAAAATTTATCAACATAAGTATTTGCTATATGAATAATTACTTAATTATTTTTTTAGTTATTAAAATTAATCATTGAATTCTCTATTAACCCCAAAAATATCTGGAAAAAAAAAAATGATAGTTCAAACACAAACCCTCTCGAATTATAGTCAACAAATGTAAGAAAATAACATAAAAACAACAATCTAGAAAATTTGTCAAACTAAGTATTTTTATATGAATACTTATTAATTATATCATGTATAGTTGTGACAATTAATTATTTAATTCTATTATATCCAAAAATAGCTAAGTAAGAAACAAACATATAAAATAATAAACTAACATATAAAATAATGTAAGAAACTAACATATAAAATAATAATATAGAATATGTATCAACCTAAGTAATATATAGAAAAATATCGATTAAATATTAATATGAAAGATATTGCAATATATTTAAAGATGTTAAATAATTAAACAGAAATTCCGCCCCAGACATATAAACGATATGTGAGAATTCATTAGGGACCACCCACTGCATCCCCGTATAGCTAGATGCCTTCAGGGTACGGGTTTCTACAGGATCATAGAGATCGGCCGGTTGCAGTTCGACTGGGCGTTGATCACGTCTATGATAGAACGGTGGCGACCAAAGATGCACACGTTTCATCTACCCATCAGCGAGGCTACCATCACGCTTGAGGACGTGGAGGTTCTTTTTGGGCTGCCTACTGATGGTATACATGTAGCTTACCTGCATGCTCTTAGAGACTATACGGGATTGGATTACCTTCATATGTTGCAGTGGCTCACTGGTTTCCAACCAGCGGGGCCGACTGCATTGAGTGGGGTCAGTCGATTTCAGCGGATGCCCGTTCGGCATCATCTGGTGGCGATGGACACGGAGATTACTGATGATTCACCCCCAGAGGATATCGACCGGCACATGAGACTGTTACTGCTGCTGATGTTTGGTGGTATACTATTCCCGAACACTTCGGAAAACCTAGTCAGCTTGCGATTTCTACGTCATCTGGAGCGGCTAGATGATTTATCTGGTTACAACTAGGGTGCAACTGTTCTAGCTTACCTGTATAGGCAGATGTGTCGGGCGTGCATGGGCACCTAGAGAGACGTTGCCAGATTTTTACCACTGCTGCAGGTGAAAACATAGTCAATTCTTTTCATGATTATAACATACATAGTAAAAAAATGCTTTAAATTTTACGTCCACAGTCTATATTAGGTTTGGGCCTGGGAGCGATTTCTGCAGTTCCAGCCACCTCTGCCACCGATAGCTCCGGATGCACCATTCCACCGTTTCTCCCTTTAGCTTGGAGGTGGGTTGATAGGTGAGGCTACGCTCGTGAGGTCGAGGCTCGACATCATCTCCCTTATTACATGGATTTGTTGGATTTAATTGAAGGCGCGCAGGTACATATATACTTAAGTTTACTTGGCCTGGCTTGATATGTGTTGCGTTTACTTATGATTATTGTGTTTAATAAACAGTTCATATAGAGGCCATACAACGACGCACTCATAGCTGGATTGCCAGATTATTGCTCCCGCGGTCGAGCTATGTGGAGCTCTTTCGTCCCACTAATATGTCTCGATATAGTCGAGCATCATGCCACCGAGCGAGTCCTTCGCCAGTTTGGCCGCCAACAGCTTGTACCTATTCTGCCCACTTGGCACAGGACACATTACCAGTGGGATGATCGTTGCAAGGTTGACCAGACATACTTGGACTGGCTAGAGGCCCAGATTGAGGTTTGGGACTAGAGGTATGGCCTGATTCCGCCATACCCTCCACCTGACCGTATGAGGGCGAGCATGAGTACATGGGTTGTTATCGCAGCATTACCCGACTTCTCGTCGGGAATCCCGTTCATCACGCTAGTGGTTGGTACATTCCATACGACGGGAGGCATGAGGCACTAATATGTTATTTGTTATACTTACTTATAATGTTATATTATACTTCCGTAATTAATATTTTATATGTTATGCAGGCTATTGGCTTACACCAGTTCTACCAGTTAGGACTGGAGATGCTACAACATACAGGCGGGGGAGCGACAACTTTGCACGTGTTTGGCCGTCAGGTTACTGATCTTGCTGCTGACACATTGAGATGTGCCAGAGAGGATGGGCGCTTAGGATACGAGGCTGCTTATGTACTGCCCGAGGAGTACCATCATGGGCCACCAGTGGAGCCTGAGCGTGGTAGACATGGCAGGAGGCTAGAGAGGAAGGGGTGGCCCACGTGGTCGTGGTGGTCGGCAAGGACGGGGTCCCCAGCAAGGCGGCGTTGAGGCACCCCGTGGAGGATATTAGAGATGATCAGTTGAGTGAACACCTTGAGCCATACGATGCTCCTCATGATATGCCGTCATTCAGCCTTCAGCTGTCACCAGGGACTTCGCAGATGACCCCGTCAGCTCCATTGTTGATCGCGGGCACGAGCATTACACAACCGGAGTGAGATCAGTATTTTTCAAATCGTCCAAAGCCATTGACAGTTACTGCTGATCGTCCGATACGAGAGGTGCATAGTGGGTGACGATTGGGTTATGGCTCATCATCGAGGGGTGCTGAGGATCTTTCACATACTTCATATACTCCAATGCACCTCGATGTTCCGACAGAGCATTGTGTCGCTACTCAGGCGCATGTTTGTTTGTATTACTATTATTTCAATGTGTTTTTACTTTATAGATTAGTCAGTAATATCTAAAGTGTTTATATTTTTTTAAAGATTTCGTCATCGCCCGTCACAGAGGCCATATTGTGCGATACTGACTTGCCGGAGACGGATGATCTTATTCAGAACCCCGCTGAGACCATGGTATGACCATTAAAGTTTTTTGCTAACACGAACGTTAGTATTTTATATTTCTTATACTAAAATATCTTATTATTCTGTAGGTTACTGCTGGCCCAACGATCGCTTCTACCGAGCCTGCCAGCCTTACTGATGATCATGATGCAGCGCATCCTCCGATAAAGAGGTGACGTGATGAGGATGATCCTGATAGCGTAGTCGGGCGGGATGGGATGCGCCTCAGGCCAACCAATGCTTTAAAGCATACAGGCTGTAGGACTCATTGAAATGTATTCTTAGTTGTATATATGACATTAAATATATAATAGCAGAATTATTTATGTTTTACATAATTTGCGCATGTTTTTTTTATTTTTCGGGTTATTTATTAGTTTAACAATAGAACATACACAAAAAAAAAAGACAGCTTAACATAAATTTAAATTCGTTACCAATTAAAGAAAATACATGATACGTACAACATAAAAATAAAATACTACAATAGACACATACATGTGTTTGTTTAGTCACTATCGCCCATTATTCTATGCTTCAACCACTTAAATTTCTCTTCCAACCGATTTTTTCTTCTTCTGCTTGTTTTAGTTTCTCTTTCACTGCTGCAAGTTATTCTTGTAGTTTCAAGATCTGGAGTTCGTATTCACCGGTCAGATTCCAAATGTTTAGCAAATATGATTTGTAGTATTCCTGGTTAATGGGTTCATCAGACCATTCTTCGAAACCACATTGATTTTTGTTCTACCAATGGGGATGATAACACAAGACTATTAATTAACATATTATATAAAAAGTATTAACAAATACTTTTTCCAAAAATAATAACTTACAACTTGTTTACACATCCAACGTCTGCGCCTTAGATTGCAATTTGACCAACATGGCTTCAAAATTGCACGTTTGCCACAGTGACACCTTGGTACGTTTGCCATAATTGGGCACATTGGATGAACTGCCACCTGGAGCTGAATTACCACCGCTTCCCAAACCAGCTGAAAGACATTTACGGCGGTCGTGTCCTGTTTGGGAACATATGCCAGATTTATGCGCATAAACGGTATCACCAACATCCATATGATACCATATCTGTGTTCTTTTTTGCACTTGCCATTGACGCACATAATCCTTGTTACACACCATTTTAAATGGTTCTGACGGCCAATAATGCTCAACATCCACTGGCTGCAACTGTCCACTATAGATGTTTACGTATGCAACAACACTATATTCTTTATCAACATACCTCGTTATTGCGAAACCTGTATGTTGAAAGCACTTCATGGCATGTGAGCATGGCAAGTGATTGATTGACCATTTTCCACAGGAGCATAATCTTTTGTATTCATTGATAGTGTGTGCATTATTCCCGCGGTTGTGATGCAGACCAGTGCGAACTTCAAAAATATTTCGCTCGCTGCAATACTGCAAAAAAGTATGCCATTGTGCTCGCTTCCTATATTTCTCAAATTGTTTCATTGGTTGTGGCATAAATTCAATACCTCTTTCCATCAATGACGATGCACCTCTAGATATTTCAACAAACCTCTCTGCCATCTGCTTGAATGACATCCGCACCATGGTAGCGACATGCAATCCACGTGCAGACTTCAACAACCCGTTGAAGACTCTGACACATTTGTAGTCAGAATTCCCCATCTTCTACCACCATCCTTATGCAAAGTCCACTTGGCAAGCTCATATCACACCAACCAACGATAGGCTTCTGGGTCTTCCTGCCTAATCAATTCTATTCGCCTCATGAATTTACACTCTTGGTGATCTGTTGTAGCCATCCATATTAAATCATGTAAGTCCTTGTTCGGATGAGCCCTCTGGAAGTTGGCCTTCAAGTGCCTAACATAGTAACGGTGGTAGGCATACGGTTCCTACCATGCACGCAAATTCTGTGCAGAACATAAAATACCGCCATGCCGATAAGATATTAGACAAATACCTGAACGCTGTCTGACAACGTGCTCCTTCAAGTGGTTCAAAAATAATGTCCACTTCTTTTGGCTTTCATTGGCACAAATAGAAAATGCGAGGAGAAATATGCTTCCATTAGCATCTACTGCAACGTCGATCAACAAATTAATATTATACTTTCTATAGACATGAGTATTATCTATGGATATTACCGGCCGACAATGCACAAAACCATCAATGGCTGGTTTAAATGCCTAGAACACATATCTGAAGATGAATTCTTGTATTCCCGGACTCCGCTCAAGCTTCCATTCAACAGCAGTCCCGGGGTTAAAGTGTTGCAATGCAGCCATGTACATGGGTAGAGCAGCAAAGGACTTATCCCAATTACCATAAACAATCTCAAACGTACGTTTACGCCCAAGAAATGCCTTTATTTTGGTAATGGTACATCCATATACCCGGTGGACAGATGTTATACACTCTTTAATCTTATACTTTATGGACGATTCAATGTGTGGAATCAAGACAAGAGAAATCAAGTCAACATTCAAGTTAAAATGATTCCCACTGAATGTGTCCATTTCATAAGTGTGGGTGACAATGTATTTTCCCACAATCCATATATTTGCTTTCAACTTTCTTGCACGCAATATCCATGCACAACCTTGAAACCATCTACAACAAATAACCTTGTATACTTCCGGAGATGACTCATGAACCACGATCACACGACACTCTTTTATGTTGTACATTCGCACCGCCCTGCTTAGGCGCGCTTTATCAGCGAAAAACATATTCTTTGACAGCACCGTTGGTCTAGATTCATCCTACATTGTTGTTCGAATGTCGTCAAGATCCCTTGTGAGGGCATCCACATCCGGCATACTGGGCAACTGATCAAGGTAGGGAATCTCCCTTGAATGAAACGGCGCATGGGACTCGTACACTCTCGGTCTAACGGGGGTGGAGTCTGCATATATGGAGCAGGCTCATTGGTGGCATCATGCTCCCTCGTCAAATCAGGTTCATCATTCTTGTCCTCATCATCATCACCTTTATCAGGGAAGGGTGTGTCATCTCCAGACTCATCAGCATTGTTGTCATAATCACTATCATCTTCCTGACTCTGTGCATTTTCCAAATACCGATTAAATATATCGTCTTCGGACAAGACCTTCAAGTTACTCGTTTTCACTGCACAACTAATAAAATAATGAGTTTCTCAAATTCATCCAAACATTAAATATAAACTTTATCACTTAACTTACAAATCATAATCTGTTGCTATCCCATGA